CAATAATAGTTCCTATTTAAAGTTTACAATAAAAGCTAGTTCTTGGTAGTACAGTTCAAAAACTAATTTGAAATCTTGAACCACAAAATCAACTTTGAAATCCCTGTTCAGTTTCCTATCTTAAACTAAAAATCAACTCGGTACCCATCAGTACATTATTCAGTCTATACATATACATTCACCAAGTTTTTATGAGGCTGAACACACTTCTGTTATACAGTATACTTCTAGTGAAAAGGTACTTCATAAAACCGCTGCAGGGCAATTAAGAGGTAATTGCACATGAAACACGCTGACCAGTGGTCAATGCCAGCTTTCAGAATTCTGACACTTCCAAGACATATTCCACATCTATTTCAGGAATCTATCTAAGATATATCACAGCTTCCTTCCAAAAGACAGCTCGTTTCTCATATACAACAAGACAATATCAAACTTATACCACACCTCTTGATTTGCAATAACTGAATATATTCCACACTCTATGAAATATCTCATTGGATTTGAGTTAGTTTCACTTGCTACAGACAGGTAGTTTCCCACCTATTGATGTGCAATAACCCAATATATTCCACACTATATGAAATTTCTCATTGGATATAATAGTATCTCTTGCTAGGGGAGCTATCTTCTATTTATACAGCAGGGAATAAATGGTCAACTCCACACTGAGAGAGATGCAATAATTCCAACTGCAGGGCAATAGTAGAAAGTTAGAAGCCACCTGTATTATTGGTAATGGTCAATGAAAAGGTGAACATTAGTAGACCATAACTGTTAGTTATAGTACTGGTACAATATCAAGTATTTTCACAGAAAATGAGAAAATCATTTGGAATTGGATACAGTTCTGCTAAATGGTTCCTTGACGCTTCCTTAGGGGATATTTTACCATTTTGATGTTTTTACCTGGCCTCATGAATGAGTGACAGGTGTGCGAGTTGTCAAAACATTGTTTATTTGAACATCAACTAGATCTATGTTTCATTCTTAGTCCCGGTATGTAATATAAGTCTAATTATTAGATATAGAAAAGATTTAGTTTTGAAAGTAAAATAATGTATGTTGATTAAGAAGATGAATGACTATATTATCTTAAGAAACATATATAAAACAAGCATCTATAGAGTAACAATACAATAATAATTGATAATCTCCTGAGCTTGTAAAGCGCCAAAATCCAGCTTGTAAAGCTGCTCGGTGGTGAAGATACTAATAATTGTTGAATGAAACATAAAATTTCAAATTATTCACACTATCAAATTGAATAGGTCTGTGAAATCTATTTAAATTATTGAAGACATACTTGAACATAAATCAAATGCTTAAACAATGAAGTCTATTTCCCAAATTTCAATTTTTAAACTCTATGAACACGAAACCATGAGAACTTTTCAAACAATTTATTACTGTTTAATCCCTGTGTGATATTGAAAAAGTCATGGTATATCTTTGTAACAGGCGTGGTATACGAGTTTGATAAACTATAGCCGATGTGTTTATTTACATAGGGCAGAGGATAAGTATCTTTTAATGTACAAAAACATCTTCTCTTTCAATTTAACATCAGGCACACCACAAATAATTAGTCTTAAATTTCAACTTCTGTTCAAGGAGGATCAAAATATTTCGCAATAGTTGGAATTTTTGGTAGAAATAGGAGATTTAATTAATACAGGTCTTACGATTTATTGATGGGAATATAATTAGACACGGTTTTATTAGAATATGTGGCATAGTTCTCTATGTAGATAGTTGATGTTTTGTGCCACTAGACTGAACATACTTTAGATTTGGTGAACTGAGTGATTCTCTGATATTATGAAAACAAATGAAATTGGGGTGAACATCTTTTAACACAGAACAGTTGAATAAGTTAATAATATCGACAGATGTCATGCACAGAGCAGGATATGTTTATTTTACACAGTGGGAGAGAGAGAAATGGGACTTAACATATACTGGACACAAACTAGGTCATCTCCGGACTAACATATGCACAAGTCTACCTATTGGTAAAAGAAATCTTGAAGAACTGGAGGAAATGCTAATGTCTATCCGTCATACCTAACTATTCCACTGTAAATATCAAACAATAGGTCTATGTAACTCAGTTTATTTTTCTGAAAATCTGTTTTAAATTCCCCCCAAACTATTCAACAAACACTACACCAAAGTCTTCCGAAAAATCTGTGTAAATAGCATGTCTATTTTGTTATCGAGTGAGTGCTTCACTTGGTCTTATCATCTGTATTGACTCTTCCATTAAACTCAAGATAAACCCCAGTTATATTTTTAGTTGTGTATAAAACATCTACCTTCCTCTTCTTACTAAGCTTTTAACAGATAACTCACAGATATCAAACATAATTAACGACTTCATTTAAGACTTTAGATCTTGGCAAAGTACAGTCTTAAAATATCGACATGATATATTTTATTAATGTTCATTAAAAGGCTGATAAGATTTGGACAAAGTTTGCTTTTTGGATATAAAATTAGAATATTTTATTGCGGTGAACCAGACTACACCTTACAACTTGTCTAAAAGTGCCAACATGCCATAATAAAGGAAAAATATAGTTTACAGCCATACACGATCAAGAATGCTGTCATTAAAAACACTTTGTTCCAAACGTATTCAAATCAATTAAATCAATCAAATCTAACGTCAGAAATGAAATGAAATGAAATGGGGTTTAACATCCTACTGTTCTGCTCCTAAACTGGGCTACTGAAGACGGGCATACACCATACAGTGTGCTATGAGGGAAATTTTGCCCGGGCAGTGGCGCTGTGACCTACTCTTATATCGAATTCCAACTGCCAAGGGATCTTTTACGTGCACGCCAATATGTACACGGGACCTCGGTTTTTCGTCCCATCTGAACGACTAGACAGCTGTACTTGTCAGGCCCTCCGTCCTGCATCACTGACATGGGGAAACCACGGTGGAAAATCTAGATGAACTTTCTCGGCCAATGCAGGGATCGAACACCCGACCTCCAGGCTAGCGAGCCAGCGTCTTACCCACGTGATTCCCAAAATCTAACGTCAGTTATGGTCACTTAAAACTAACATTGCCTTCCAAATTGATATCATGTATCTCTGACAAATAAAGTAATAATAATTTGGCTCTTTCGTTTTTCATATAGGCCTACTCATTTTTTTCATAAGCCTCCCCATTTTTTACGAAGGTTTGTTACACTTCATTGTAGTTATTTAAGTACATATTTGTAACTTTAGAGATAATATTACGAGAACAATCTGGCATGCTGTGCTATACAGCTATATATTTTAGGATGCTCTAAGATGATAATAGCAGCCAGAACTCAATTTTTTTCACAACTAGACACTGTTCATTGCCAGAAATTTCTCTGCCGAAACAACAGATCGAACCAGCACCTTACACACTGAGCCACTGCCGCTCCAATCGTAACAACCAGAATTTACATCAAAAAGTCTAAGACCTAACACATTAAACATCACATAAAATTCATTTGTTAAAAAACAAATTGCCAATATTTTGAATTTCTCTCTATATCAGCCTATAGTGCTGATAATATATGTACTGGTTTTAACTTAAAGGACTGCAATTTGAATCAAATAAAGTATTGCAGTGTGAATCAAATCAACTTTTTTCAAGTCATGACCTTAAATCTTTAATCTTCACCATATGCACCAAGCTGCAGATGTTTATTTTTAATAGATATTACATATCTTGACAAGATTCAAAGCACCCAGAAATTATTTTTCTAACAGATATTTTATTCATAACATATCAAAATTTAAAGTAAATTTAAAAAGTCTAGTTTAAATCTAATTCAAACATTTATCAATTCAGTGATAAATTTCTGAATCTTGAACGGAAGCACATATTTTGGAATATTGCCCTTTCGTCGTTATACTATTTGTGGATGAAAATAATCTTTAGGTAAAAGGTGCTGATTTTCTAAAATACAGTCACATTATATAACTGCATAAAATATATTAAGTAAAAAGTCTTAGCCACTAAGAAAGAAGCTTCAAGTGTGCCCAAAAAAAAAAAAAAAAAAAAACATATCAGGGGAGATAACTCTATAATGTTGAGTTTTCATAAAATGTCATTAAATGTTGCTGTATTACTAACTAAAAGTTAATTAATTAAGCTGAATATATTTCAACATCTTGAAGCAAAGTCAAATACAAGTATAAGGTATTACACATTTCATAGGCAGTTTAGTGTGTCAAGGGAGACAACTTTGTTAATTGAAGCTAACTTGATGTACATTTATCAATAACTTGGGAACATGATCTGTATGTGTTTTTAGATAACAGAGAAGTAGATATATCTAAATATACCTTGTCTTATCAAATAACAGAGAACTAGTTATATCATATATATCTTGTGATGGTTATTGTTGTGAATGTATAATTTCTATTCATATTATGTGGAATATGTGTATTTCCATGTATTTAGGCAATCATTTTATAATTCATTTTTGATGTGAGAAATATTTACGATACTTTTGTTGTTTTGTTAAATCTAGGAGAATGAGAAAATGATATATGGATAATGTAACTGTTGGACTAGAATTAGGAGATGAACACATTCCTGTTTCATATTTATCGGGAATTTAACCATACTTGAATCATAAGAACACGAGACATGACATCCATGTGCTTGCGTTCATTTTACAAAATATATAATATAAAAGATTGGTTTGTATTGTGTGTGTTATTTGCATAGTATAAAATATTTAGTTGTTTTGTTAAATTTAGGTGAATGAAATCAAAATATACTGGGTATTGAATTAGATTAACAAATTTGGATAGTGTAAAATAATTTGTGCTGTGTATAGTGTATATAGTTTGCATAGTATAAAATATTTTGCTGTTTTGTTAAATTTAGGTGAAATGAAATTAAAATATGCAGGGGATTGTACTATTTGACTGTATTAGAAGTAAGATTAACATGCATTGTGTACAATTTGCATAATATAAAATAATTTGGTACTCACGTTTGTATTCAACTGATTACTCAACGTTAAAACTTTATCCTGGGCACCTTCAAGCTCTCGTCGCAATTTACGAATCTGTTTCAGAAGTAAAACAATTCAAAATCAAAACCAAAATTTCATAAAATTTCTAAATTTTATTTTAATTTCCCTAAAAATAAAAACTACCAAATTTTCTAAAATCACAAAAAAATATAGGAATACATATTAAATTTCCTCATTCTTGTCAATTTAAAAGTGAGAATAAAAAATGAAATATAAAGTGAATCAAGTAGTTTTTGAATCGAATGTGAAAGCAAGTACCATCACCATTTTAATGTATAATATTGTTAATCAAATTGTGTATAGCTTTCAAATTTGTCCAGGTAGAAGTCAAATTTTGACTTCAACCAATGAAATTGTTTATTTTCCCGTCAAAATGGATAGAAATTTTCTAACCTCGTGCGCTTGTCTGTCCTCGGCCTAGAAAACAGAAAGAAGACGATTTGTGAATTATTCAAAATAATTCAGAAATATCAAGTTTCAATTTGTAATTGAATATTACAGAGCGATTCAAAACACTTAAAAATTTGATAGCCATAAACATGCAATTTACATAGAGATTGTAATGTCTGAGTTATAAAGCCATAGGTTATTATTAGTTATACGTATATTGAAATAAGCAAATTTGTTTCTCATTACATTACTATAGTGAAAGTGACAGATATGAATTATATTATACCAAGTATTATAGTTCCCTTGCCATTTATTAAAGTCTCTCAGCATATTTGAGTGATATATGAATACCTTGCCAACTACAATATTACAAAAGTTGAATCTCTAATAAGAATATCAGTCCAAAAATAGTTCAATTCTGTTCTATCTGAAATTTGTGAAATCTAATTGATTTTTAATCAGTTTGGGAGGTTATCTAGCATTGAACTTTTTGATTTTGTTTTCTTAATTAAATTTAAATAAACAATCTGAATATATATTAATGTGGATTAATCTGTGAGAAATTTTAAATTTTCCCCAAAATCAGATGCAGTTACTTTTCCCAAAATCATGCTGAATTACTTTAATAAACACATTTTATGGCCAGGTGAACCATATTCAGGGATAACTGGCAATTAAGACTGAAAAAAGGATAGCCCTGGGGTCTAAATCACAAAATCTAAAATCAAGTTTGTTTTTTTTAAGAATTCAGTTTTTTCATTGCTTGAGAGATAAAATTGGAGTAAAATTTTGAGCTCTCACCCATTGAAAAGGTTGGATCCTTAAAATATTTTAGGTTAAAATTTCATGAATAGAGCCCTTGACTTATGTTTACTAAATGATTCGTTAACTCAACTTTCACTATACTAAATAAAATGGGATTTAATGTCCATTTTTTCTGCACCTACCGGGCTAATAAAGACGTCACTACACTAATAGAAAAGGGTATTTATATAAGATGCATGCAGTTGTATTAAAGTATAGGTTGAGGTTTATTTGTCTTTTACTTACAGAAGAATTAACTGATGAAGATGCTGATGATATGAGAGACAGGTTCGATCCATGGACTGCAAAAATAAAACATCATATTTATATGAAATTTTCATAACAAAAGTAGAAAGCAACTAAAAAAAAAAAATTGACAAGAATAGATTTTTGACGTCTTATTTACTTCAGATTTAATAAGAAATGAATCTAAGAAATGTAATGATTGGTTTGTAGTTGTTTTTATTTTCATTAAGAATGACTTACTTTTACTCTACATGAGATAATGAGCTATGAATGAGCTATTTTTAGTAGTATACACATTACACATCAAAACAAATAAATCTGGACATATTTTTTTTATTCATCAAACAGTTAGTGTATAAACATATTCACAAAGAAAAATAACTGAAGACTATCTTTTATTATTTTTAAAAAATCAAAGTTCACACAAATGTTTCAATTGTTAGTCATTCAAAATGCTTTAATTTTGTCCCCTAATGCATTGTTTATTGAATTGTAAGAATTTCATTAAGATGAAATATGAAGAGTTATTCCCCTTTTAGGTACATGGTAATCTATGCAATAACAGAAATGAAAAGAAATGGTGTTTAATGTCCTAGTTTTCTGCTAATGGATACAGCTATGCAGTGTACTATGAGGGAATTTTGCCCAGACAGCGGCACTGGGGACTATTATTTTTTCGAATTCCATCTGTACATAGGATCATGTTTATTTGTCACATCCAAATGTTCCTTGTTTGGCTTGGAGTGATCCCAAGATTTCCAGTTAGCAAGCCAGTACTTTAATCACTGAGCCATATTGGGGCTCCACTATGGAATGACAAACCATTACTAAGTTAAACTGTACATTTTCAATATAGAAAGCTTAGGATGTTAGAATACTTAACCATTAACAAAATGTAGGTTAGGGTTCATTGTATATATCATGTACTGGATATGTGTAATCCAATGGATAGACTTAACAATATTGGGGACATTGCTTAACTCACCTGATGAATATGCATAATCGCTTAAATATGCGTAATCTATAGTTGATGATTTCGTTAAACCTGCACAAGATACAAACACACAATTAGTAATAACAACATCACAGCACAGAATCACAGCAAGTAAACTTCTCATTCGGATTATCATCAAGTATTGAAATGCTGACAGTCGTGCATTTTCAACAAGACTCACCTTCATATGCTCCTAATAAATTGATAAAATCTTAAAAACTAGGAAACAAAAGTTTTGCATTCAGTTATTCAAAAATACTAGCAAAGACGCATTCAGTTATTCAAAAATACTTGCAAATATAAATTGTTTTGCTTAAAGCTGATAATCGTCATTTGATTGATTTTGAATCTCTTGAAAACTACAAAGTAAAAGTTAAATCTCTAAAATCTATTGATGGGCCTCTTTTTAAACAGATTGAATCCAAGACAGGAGATTTTTGGGATTTTTCTTAATTAATCTATTTGAGTATATTTTAGTGTTTATTATTTCATGAAAAATCAGATATTGTCTGAAAAATGCAGTCAATACAATAACTGGTTAGCATGTTCCTGTATACCGAAGGAAGATGTATGCATATCAATTCTGCTCACTTTGTTGGAACCTTGAAATAGACAAAAATGGTTCTAAAAGCACATATTAATGTAATATGAATGTATTTAAAGTGATTTATATTCAATTCTAACGTTTACGCCTGCTTAGTCCATTCTACACTTTTTTAAATTATTATTTTGTCATTTGTGAATTAGCCTTTACTGTTGTAGGATATTTTTTATTTGTTCATTACCAAATGGCACCTGAAACCATAGGAAATGAAATGAAATGCGGTTTAATGTCCTACTGTTCTGCTCGAAACCATAGGGAACACGACTTATGTACTGATTATAAAGTGTTCATTGTGTTTTAAATATTTGATATTAGGATCCTATAGTTTCACATCAAAGTAACAACATCAATATTGATTGAAATTGATCGATATTGAATTCTAATACATGTTTTTAATCTCGAATATTATGGAATATATTGAGTTGGAGACTTGGCGTCTTTAAATCAGTTTTTGACGATATGTTTTCTCTTGCTAAACATACGAGAATCTCATCACTAGCTGCACAAGCAGACATGTCACCAAGACACAGTACATTTAAAATGTCAAATGCTTATGGCAGTGTTTATGAGGATGTATTCCTTTTTGCTGTAATGTCAGAAAGTTTTACATGATTACTAAATCAAACTACGATTTTATTTAGATAAAATCTTACAGTTTGGATTCTGGTAAACAGAATTTATATTTGCAAATATTCCTTGAAATATATTTCAAATGTTAGTAGAATAAAATGATCTCAATAACAAATAAATAATTTTCATTCTAAAAATCAATCGATCATCCGGATTAACATCAAAATACATTGATCACCACTAGAAGCTGTCAACACCACTTGCATAAAACTTTATAAAAAAAAAGTTAAAAATCACGAAGAAACCAAAAGTTGATCACAACCATTTAAAAAATAACACAATAAAATAAAATCGCGATAATGATGTAATGTAAGTGAAAATTTTATGAGTCATGTAATGATTTCAGCGACAAAAAAAAATCACGATATCATTCGCATAAATCACGAAGAAACCAAAAGTTGATCACGACCATTTCAAAAATAACACAATAAAATAAAATCGCGATAATGATGTAATGTAAGTGAAAATTTCATGAGTCATGTAATGATTTCAGCGACAAAAAAAAATCACGATATCATTCGCATAAATTATACTGAGATCACGATATACTACAACATATAAAACTATCATCCATGCTCCTAATCAAACCAAAAATCGGTTATAACAGTCCCTTCCGAAAATTAAATATTTATTGTAATCCAATTACTTAGTTGCACCTACAAATTTTTTTCGTTGGTAATTAGTACTTAGGGTGAGACACGCCTACGACCTGGCAGACAAAAAAATTTATATATAAAACTATCATCCATGCTCACATTCAACCAAATTCTTTTACAATAGTCGCTTTTAAAAATAAAATGATTTGTTTGCCTAATTGGATATATTATAATCCAAGCCTTATTTGCACCTAAGATTTGTTTTTGGTTGGTAATTTGTACTTCGAGTGAGACAACACTGCGACTTTGCCCACATAAAAATGATTTTTTTTTTGTTAAGATCAAAATCATTATTTTTCAATATCTTTGCAATGGGTAGAATCAAGTAGGGCTCCACTCCTACAGTCTTTTTCATCCAGACTCTGATTTATTTCATACCTGCATCTATGCAGTGTCTGGATGAATGAGACAGCATTCCTTATAACGTGCAACAATTAAAAGTACAGTAGAAAGATAGCAAAGTCAGACAACATTTAATACATGCTCCAAAATCTAAAACATCAAATTAAAGATTAAAAAACAAAAAAACAAAAAAAAATACTAGCAGCTACTAAAGCTAAGACTTACGACTAATGCCATCTTCATCTCGGTTGACCTTGGCGAGTGGTAAGCTATTGAAGGTCATACCATGGTGAGTGTTGGAGTGAACCATGTGATGCGATAGACTACTAGGCATGCCAGAGGTGAAGGTCATAGGATACGTGAATCGTGACGAAGCGTGAACAGACGTAGGAGACGCCAGTTGCTCCGTCGCCGAGCTACACGGACCAGATAATTGAGAGAAAGAGTTTGTGCGAGGAAGATCCTCGGAGAGAGATTTTTGATGGGTGAAAGGGATGTCAGATTGGGTAGATTTAATGCTATCGGAACGATGGAGACCACTTTGATTCTGATTTTGGTTTTGATTTTGAGTTTGGTCTCGTTGCTGGGCGAGGATTCTAGCACTAGCACCACTCAAGGCTCGAGCTTGTTGTATCTGAGCTTGGATTGATAATGAAGTGGCCGACGAGATGGAGTCCATGCTTTCTGTCTCACTCATAACACCGTTACCATTTCTCATTAACCAGTTGTTTCCAGAATTTCTAGGACTACTATATTCCAGAGTAATATAATTACCACTAGCGGGGCCGTGTTGCTGCAGCGTGCACTGCTGCATTGCTTGCAGTTGCTGAAGATTAACATAATGACTTTGTTGTCCTTTAAAGTCTGTTCCTTTACCGTACGTTGCGTGAGGATTTGAGATGATAGTCGAAGGACACATACTTCCTCCATTTTCTCCGTTAGATCCTTTCGATAAACTTGATTTACTGTCAAACAATCGTCGTCTGCCGAGTGTATTCGATTGGAAGTCTGGAGCTGCTGTATTACTGGATGACTTACTTGTTGTCAATCCTTTCTTCTTGCGTTCTAGAGTGCTGCTAGCATAAGCATCTTGACCCATGTCACTGTGTGTGCTAAGAGAGATTTTAGCTGCTGCACTTCCAGGTCTGGGAATTCCTGTAGGTGTTCCATTATCCACACCATGTTTTGCTAACCGACTTCCAACAGCGTTGGAACCTTTGCTGCTACCATTACTCTTATTGCTACCTCCTGATGAATTACTCACATTACTTAATGGCCGACGATACTGAATACCTGTGCCACTACCATTACTAGGTGCTGCTCCGCGAGCAGTTTGCATTCTTTTTAAACTTGTCTCCATTAGATGTGATTGGTCAGTATTTGTTGTGGAGTCACATTTAACACTCGGTGTCGGAGAATACGTTCCTTTGTCACTTTGCGCGTAATGAGGACTCTCGCCACGATAACCATATTCAGACTGACTTGAGTTTGACAATTTTCTTAAAGAACCGTAACTGGGTTCACTTCTACCCCACTGTGAGTGTTGATCGCAACTTGAATATGGATACGCGTAATCGCTTGGATCACTACTTAACAACTTACTATTTTGAGGTAAGTAATATTTACGACCCCACCCATAAGGGTTATTACTGTCACTGTTGTATTCACCACCTAAGAATGCACTTGTACCGAGGTTCGGTCGTTTGCCTTGGATTCTTCCATGACCGTTACTGACATGAATTCCTTGGGTAAGATCCTTTGGACCTCTCTTTAGGCTACTGTAAGGATTGGTATCAGACAGCGCCCCCTGAGATGATCCAGTCAGATTTTCATCCGTGCTGATTTCGGCGATTGTATCACTGATGTCACCACTACTGATAGAACTACTGTCATCAAAACTGAAAAATATCAAAAAGATAATTCTAAATAATAATCAGGGAAATCAACCAGCAGCAAAATAACATTAAGCATCATGATTCCAGAAAAAAGACATGACCAGCGAGCTGCAGTGGCTCTGGCACTGGCTCATTAACCAGGTGCCCAGGGGTTCAATCCTGATGTAAGCTGAGGAAGTTCCTCCAGTTTTTCCAGTGTGGTTTCCCCTTGTCAGTGGTGCAGGATGGAGCGCAATGGCTAGTAATAGTGTTTGGTTGTTCCAATGGAAATAAAAACTTGCTTCCATTTAATTTTCCGCATAGCACACTGGTGTATACCCAGTAGGTGCAGGAAAGTATATGACATTAAACTGCATTTCATTATAACCAAGTTTTAAAAGATCATTTTCAAGATTCAGGAAGAAGTTAAATTACAATATTGTAATTGTTTATATTATATTATTCATATAAATGCTAGTAATTGAAACGTGAAAGGTCATACCAAATAATGAAAACCACTTCTAACATAGTTTTTAATTCACACAACGAATAAAAGCCATCGAAGTGACTGATTTTTTTAGATTACATGTTTATAGAATATCATTAATATCAACCTTTCTATTCAATTCAGGATCAATTGCTGACATCAGCAACTTCTATTGCATGTTTTGCTTTGCAGTCGTAGATCGTGTGTGTAAAAAATCATGTTTCTTCAAAATGTTTCAACCAACGCAGGATTTAGCTAGTATTATTAAAATATGCAATGATTAACTGTCAACTTTGCTTAGAATTGATGGACTTTACAGTAAATATAAGGAGATTGAAAGATGAAAAAGAGAGAGAGAGAGAGAGAGAGAGAGAGAGATTTAACATCCACTTGCCGCAAATTAGGTCATTTCAGGACTAACACATAGTTCTACCTTATTTCAGTAATTCTCTTGTGCGCAGGGGTCTTTATCAGTGGAAGGAAACCAGAAGACCCAGAGAAAACCCACAAGGTTGGACAGGCAATGCTACTCCTTGTCATGTACATGTGGGATTTGAAACCACACCACTTGATTCAATGACAGACCTTATGATCAAATGCGCATGAAATAGAACTCAAGTTTCTAGACTTTCAGCATATAATAAGTAGAACACTGAGAATAATTTCCAGCGTGATGTTGTTCATAACTGTGCTGCAAAAAAGTGACAAATGTTCAATAAATAGTTATTATCCGAGAACTAGACAATATTAGGATCTGATGAATATTTTAGTCTTACAAGTATTAGAAATATTGTCTTGGACGCTATACACTATACTGTCTTTTATTTTTGAGTTTGAGGCACTAAACGATCAAATAGAACTGAAGTTTGCTCAAGTTTGTAGACTTTCATTACGTCAGTAATGCTGAGGATAATGTCCAGACTCCAGCGTGATGTTGCTCCCAACTGTACTGCAATAATGTGATGACAGTCTAATAAACCACTCTATCTAAGAACTCACTGATGTCATCGTCATCATGTATCTTACTACAGGAAATGGTCTGATAGCCAATGGCGGAAGAAATTAACTTGGTATGCATGAAGTGATCAAAAAACGAGATCTCAACCCTTTTAAATCGGCCTGTCGTATTAGAATAATCCCTGTTAATATCAAAATGCTTTTACTATCCATTCTGATTAAAAGATCTTTAAATACTTGTTTTATCTGAGCAATTATCAGGAACCGTGGAAGCATGCTTTAAACACTAAATTACTCCATTAAATCTTAGAATGGTGTAGGAACAGGATTAAGAGGTTGCTATAGTGATGTGTCAAAATCGACTGGCAAGGACAGGTCTGAATTTACAGAAATTGCCATTACTGGGAATTTTTTTTATCTGGAATTGATGATGTTCGAGTTTTGTAGGATATTAAAACAAGTGTCCTGAATTGGATTTAAGTGTTAGCTTCTTTTCCGACTTTCGTGTTTTTTTGAAAACGTCATAATCCTGAACTGAAAATGATTATCAAATCTATTTCCAAGCCACACCTGACAAATGTTGAAAACATATGTAATATTTCTCCATGCACTCAGTTATTACAAGACCCTAGGTCATTTCGGGGCAAACATGTGATATATTTTTATTTCAATAATTTGGGACCTGGAGAAAATCCATGAGCCAGACGACCCTACTCCTCGTCACGTACAAGTGTGGGATCAAAACCACGCCACTTGACTCAATGACAGACCTTATGATCTAAAGTGCATGCATTAGACTATTCGGCCACCCAACCCCTCCTTCTTAAGAGCAATCAAAATGAAAATTTTTTACTTTTACATTTGCACATAAGGAATACATTATTTGTCAAATGAATGAACGACTTATAAATATTTTGTAGGTTACTGCGGAAACCTCTGAAAAATCTGCTTACATTTAAAGTAATCAAATCTCTATTCTTTTGAAACCTATATTGGAGTAAAATGGGTCGAAAACACATACCTTAATATTCAAATGTAATATGAATGTATATAACCCGATTTACATTCAATTTTTGAAATTTTTTACTTATTGCAAATACTTCTAATAAATCTGCTTACGTTTAACTATAAATATCAAATAATAAGAATAATAGGAATAATGAGGAAAATAGGGAAAAAACCGAGTCGAGTACCACCTATAGTTGATCATTAATTACATCCAGATTGTAATATAAATAAAACTGTAACCAATCTGAACTGATTTCAAACCTATCCAATATCCCCTACGTAATCTGTGATACATTAGCCCCAACCTATCATATGTTCAACAAACTTCACCCAAAATTTACATTAGATTCAGATGTCATCATTTCATTAATGCCTGTCTTCATTAGCCCAGTCAGTGAAGGAAAGTGGAACACTAAATTTATTTTATAGTTAATTAATGTTAAAATAGATAAAAACTTACATAATTACTGGCGATTTTGGGGTTTGTTTTCTACTGACAAATATATTTGTAGATCTAATTAAGTAAATCTCTATAAACTAAATTAGATTTCAAATAAATCCACCAAATTAACGTATATCACTACAAATCAAATTTGATTCCAAATATATTCATAAAATCCCAAAATATATTTCAGCCCAGCTGCACATACATAGCAAATGGATTCAGAATAATTTAACACCAAATATAAGTAACTCATCCACACCAAACACTAAATAAATCGTTAATGGGTCCTGTATTTGGACTAATAGTTGCAAACTTCTTTAGATTGAAACTGATAATAGTTCCTTAAACCTTTATCAAGAAATTTATCAAATACATAAAATCTGAGAAGAAACGTCAGCATTGGGTTCATAAACCATTAGGATATGCCCCAGGGGATGTTTCTTAGTTTTCATTGGAAAGATTTCAGATAAATACAGTACATATTTACAGAAAATTTGAATAAATCAAAATAAACATGGTTAAATAGAACCATATATAAATCAGATTTACTCCCTTTGATCATGTCAGATTGAGTGTCATGATGCAAAATTTATCTATGTATAGATTACTTACAATTACATCCTATTAATCTTAAAATTGATCAACTAACCAGAGACAGAGAGAGAGAGAGAAAAATGTGGCTTAAAGTCTAATCAACACAAAGTAGGTAATTACCGGACTAAATTATGATATGATTTCCTTTTAAATAATTGACTTGCACGTAAGGGTCTATATTAAGAGTGGAAGGAAACCGGACAATCCAGAGAAAACCCATAAGGTTAGGTGGGCAATCCTATTCCTTGTTACATACAAATGTGGGATCGAAATGAAACTACTTGTGTGTGCAGAGTGTTCACAAGAATCTGTGGACGACGGAAAGATGAAGGGTCGCTACCAATATCATCCTACAGTTTAAAAATAATATGGACTCTGACCTGTAGGGTGGTCACAAGAATTTGTAGTTTAACCGACAGACAATGGATGCCAGAAGATTATGACACGTCCACATTAAATGTTGGGATTTAAAAATAAGCAACTGATATCGGTAGAAGAGAAATAATTGAAGCCTTCTTTGATTTTAAAGGAAGAACAAACCTATCTTAGCAGACAGCACCTAAAAGACATGATATTAGTTTTATCACAATTATAAAATACAATACAATCCTACTGTTCTGCTCCGACTGAGCTAATGAAGACGGGCATACTCTATACAGTGTGCTCTGAGGGAAATTTTGCCCTGGCAGCGGCACTATGGCCTACTCTTATATTGAATTCCAACTGCCAAGGGATCTTTTACGTGCATGCCAATGTATACACTGGACCTTGTCAGACCCTCTGTCCTGCACCACTGACAAGGGGAAACCCAATGAACTTTAATACAATACAAACGCATGTTCTACCTATATTCATCCTCGCAAAAAAATTAAAATTGACATAAAAATCTGTAAATCATAGTCTGAAAGAACTGACATCAACAAGTCAGTACAACCTTGTAAGAGGCCAAACTTGGCAAATTGTCAAAGAATCAAAACGTTGAGATTGTGTACATTTGGATATTAGTTTTTACATGTTATTTCTAGAATAACTTTTCTCAAAAACATATTTCTAAAAAAAATAATAATCTCAAGAAAATCAAGATTGAATTCTGAAGATGGATGGCTTAGAGAGGAACTTATAGAGCTTTATAAGGATATATATCACCATTTTATGATTAATAACGGCCGCTGTAATATTGTGATATCATTTATAGAAGTGAGTAGGATTACTTTAACAGGAAAATAAATTAAATGGATGAATACTTTACATGTGATCAACTTTGATATGTCATTTTAAGGCAGACTATTGATAATGGAAATCATGATGAATTTAAATTTTTGAATGATTTTTTAATTTTTCATAATCCCTTTTCAGACTACCAAAATTAGAAATACCAAATGTAAACATGGAACAGTACTGCTCAGTTACATAAAATAAGTACAAGCCTACTATGGACAGGAACCGAGCATGACGTTTTTGATTCTATATTGAATTGTAACATCCTATCAAAAATCAAAATCTGTCAATCCATGTGCAATTGTCCAAGGAACG